TTTTTTTATCATTCATTTATCAGTCCAATACTGTAAATTTCTAGAACATTTCCTTTGAAACCGTGAACTGATCTTTCAGTTCATTGCTGAACGGGTCGATGTAGCCAAATACAGCAGTCGTGAGCAAGTCGACATTTTGGAGACTATGTTTGCTCAAACTCTGAGTTTAATTGTCGGTAGCGGACCAGCAACGGTGGCGATGTCTCCTGCCCTTTCTACTCCTGTCTATGATCAGCAAGGTGAACATAAACGGTCTAGATTCCCTTTATCACATCTAAACTGAGCACTTGCAGTCTCATTGACGAGGAACATAGAAGCTGTGGGAGTACGTTTTCGATTGCTCTCATGTGCACTGAATATGCTACAAGGAGAAGTCACAGCTTCGAGACCTTCAAACAATGTGATTCGACAGCGAATTTACGCCTCCGCCCTTGATTATTTTACGTTAGTACAGTGGCAATTCTACATCAGTTTATAGAAATGGTGTTCTTCAGACAACCCCCTCAAGGACCGACCCAAAGCACCGCCCAGTTGAAAGCCGACATCAAATTGTTGATCTCATTCTGGCAAGTCCTATACGCTGATGGAAAGTACATCAAGAAAGAAATTTTTCTTTCGCGAGGTGAGTTCAAGGCTTAATTTCTTTGTACTAATTCCACGAAGTTTTAGTTTTTGAAGTATGTACATTACATTCAGTATATCTGCGTCGGCGTAAGTGATATAATTTTGGCGTACTCTTGGTTCTTAATTTCTCTCATTTGAAAAAGTAACAAATGCGGCGAGCAGTTCAGTTTTGAGCGCAGCGATACGCTGACAATCATTTTTGCTATAGTAAGATCCTGCTTTCTAGATAACGAAGTAGGAGTCGCTGCAAACCTCAACCAGTTGGAGCCATATGGAGATCAAATGCAAAGGTATCACTTTTACTGATTACGTTTCAAGAAAGATATTGACCAGTTGTTTATAGTTCTTCGAGATCTGGCACACAAACTTGGCATACAGCCGCATCAAACAGCACTTACTACGTGAATACCCTCACATTGTCGAAAAATGCTCTAACATCTTCTACACGAGGAAGTAAGTGTTGAATGATCTTATCATCCTGCATGCAAACTGATTTTTTTGGAGAGTTACCCCACCAAATTAAGGACCGCATTCAATCTCCACAAAAAATTCTCTAGATCCTACACATACATGCCGTGAAAGAATACTCTTTTCATAGGT